TTTTATACTTTTTTAATAAAAGATTATTGACAAACTGCAGGACAAACTTAAGCTTGTTTAGGCTGAAGTTTTAGTAAATGAACTAAAAAAACTTCAACTTGTTTACACTGAAGTTTCGGATAAAACCCAAGACAAAACTGTAGATTGCGTTACATAACTTCAGCATGTTTTGGTATGAAGGTTTATCAAATGAACTAAAATAACTTCAGCATGCATTAGCAAAAACTCTTTAGAAAATTATATACTGCAAGACAAAAACTTATGCATGTTTAATCTGAAGTTTTAGTAAATTAATTAAAAAACTTAAGCATGTTTAGTCTGAAATTTTAGCAAATGAACTAAATAACTTCAGCGTGTTTAGCCTGAAGTTTTAGCAAATGAACTAAATAACTTCAGCATGCATTAGCAAAAACTCATTAGAAAATTACATTCTGCAAGACAAAAACTTAAGCATGTTTAGTCTGAAGTTTTAGCAAATAAACTAAAAAACTTAAGCATGTTTAGTCTGAAGTTTTAGCAAATGAACTAAATAACTTAAGCATGTTTAGTCTGAAGTTTTGGCAAATGAACTAAATAACTTCAGCATGTTTAGACTGAAGTTTCGGATAAAACTCATGACAAAACTGTAGAGTGTAGGATAAATAACTGCACCATGCATTAGCATGAAGTTTTAGCTTCAACATGAAACAACTTCATGCTATATTAGCATATCTTCAACGTGAAACAACTTCATGCAAGTGTGTTTCTGAAGATGAATCTAGACAAGTTTCTAATTTTTCGATAAAGCTGTTGAGAGGAGAGGAGGAGATCTTTTTTCACGAATGAGGTTGCAGATCACGCGATTAATGCGTGATGTAGGTTTTATATCTTTTGTCGGGGTGTAATTGCCATGTTATCACGAATTTTTTGTCAACTGGCTACCAAATCAGTAATTCTTAAAAATAGGGTACATGTTAAAAAATTGCACAAATATCGGGTACAGCTAAAAATCCTCCAAAGACGAAGCGTACATTCAATAACAATATTGATGGTTTGACTCTATGGCGCAAGAACCTAAAAATAGCACGGGCTAGCCAGGTTTTGGATTGGTCATTGAAAAAAGCCAGCATTTTCAAAGTCATTAAAAAATAGCTACTATTTTTCTGCAACACGAAAAGTTCCAGCATAATATACTAGAGATCGGTGCACCTGTGTATGAACTTCCAGCATATTATGTTGGAACTCCAATACGCGAAAAGTTCCAGCATGATATACTGGAGATTGGAGTACCTTTGTATGAACTTCCAGCATATTATGCTGGACCGGTATATTATACTGGAATTTCAGTATATTATGCTGGAGTATATTCCGGATTTTGAACAATTTTTTCGTTCAGATTTATCTTTATATGAAAAGTGGGTAATTTTCGATTACTTTTGAAACTGTGGCTATTTTTGAATGACCACTTGTAAATCTGACATTTTTTAAATTTCTCCCCGCAAAAACGAGATTGAGCCCATTATGGTTTACTTCATTGAAAGTACTGTTTTGGTCCTCTTTATATCATTTTAGCATGGGTGGCTCAACAAGATTGGAGGCCGAAAGCGAAAATCTAATTGGAGGCCTTTGTTAAAACAAAACCTTCATATACACTTTTATCTGAAATCTATTTTTTCTAGCTTTTTGAGATGTAAATTTGTTAATAATTTTTTTATAAACCATTTAATCACTCTTAAAATATTATTGATCTTAGGAAATAAAACCAGATTCAAAAAGTTGATAACTTGATATCGAAATAATTATTTGATGTTTTAATATGCTTGTTGTAGTGCTTGAAACCTACAGAGGAAAAAAATTAAGAATGTGCAATATAGCTTATTCAACAGTATTCTTTAGCTCTTGTTTTTATTGAAAAAATTGATCTTTTTTTACGAAACAATATAGCTTATCAAAAACTTGAACTTTTGCTGAAACCAAGAAAGAAAATATAAGAGTGTAGTACACATTTTTTATGAGAAATATAGAAAATGAGATTCGGACTACTAGAGATAATAAAATATTAGACTCTAAAAATTTATTACACGTTTTCTAGTGAAAAATATAAAAAAGTAAAAAAATAATGTAGGATGATGTCAATCGTAAAATGTAATTAACGTAGAATTTTATATTCATGGAAAGGGTTTAGGAGAGTATTTTTTTACTTTTTATAAAAGATTTTACTTTTCTATTTTGAAGTACTTAATATTATTTTTTAAAAATTAACTTATAAATCTATTGTTGATAAAAGTTGGTCTCCACTCCAAGGATTGTGATAGATGGATATGATTTAACCTACTTTAATCAGATATTTCGGATTTGAGCTCTATAGAGCTTTCCTTTTTACTAGGTCTTAAGTGGTACAAACTTAAATTAGTCATAGCTTTAATGCAAATACCGAACACATAAAAATAAAAAATAAAAACAAAAAAAGAATTTGAACTCCAAAAATTTTAGAGCCTAAAGCAATTGCTTTAGTTGCTTGACCCTCTAGCCGCCCATGCATTTAAGTCAAGAGAAATTGGCGTAAAACATTTGTCACTTGAAAATATGGGGATAATGTCAAAGACCTCGCCTCAGGTTTGGTCCCACCACACTAACTTTTCTAGTGGTTTAGAATAATACACTTACCTCTCTTATTTTAATGTTTTGTGTAACTATCTATTTAACCTATGTTGCATTAATATAAAAAATAATATGACTTTCTTACCCTTTCTAATATATTATCTAAACAAATTAATTTTCTAAACATCTTAGCAGAGGAAATTGAAGTGTTGTCCTGATGTTTACCTTGAAAATGGCCATAACAATTAGTTTTGATTTTGTGGTTCTAAAAATATGTGATCTATTTTTATGCTAGTTGTTTAGACAATAGATGCTAAGTGAAGGATTAGAAAATAGGGGAAGAGCAAGATGATAGCTTAATAATCAAACCGAATAGTTGGAAATCGGGGCCTCGAGCTAGCGCGTGCGGGGCCTCGAGGTTGAGTCGGATGCCCGACTGTGGGCGGTCGATGGAGAATTAACAGTTATGAGAGCTGTGATTGCGGCTCTTTACGATCAATAATGAGCAATAAATGATGAACAATAAATAGAACACGATGAATATAAGCAATAAATGTAAGTAGTGAGATCAAGAGAATATGTAAAGTTAGAGAGCAGTGAGAATGTTCTTGTATTTTCAATATTGTGACCTAGATGATCTTTACAAAATGACAAGGGTCCCTTTTATAGATGAGGGGAATCTTGATATGGTACAAAATGCATTTATTGAAAAGACCTGAGGTTGGCATAGCCATTTAATGCCACTGTGCTGGCCTGAACTAGCCCAGTAAGCTAGGTCAACTTTTAATCATGAGCCTTGGGAACTTTCCGCTAGTGCGTCGTAGTCGTTGGTTTGCACTGCCTCGAGGTCGATCATTATGAACCCTTGGGGGCAAACTCCGAGCTAGACTTCGAGCCTTTCGGCGGTGATCTCTTCGAGGCGCCCTAGTGATCATAAAATCGAGCCCTCTGATTTTTACCGTGTACACCTGATTAGGGCTGCAGTGCGTCGTGCAAGGCTTCAGCCACGTTATTAGTGGAATCAAGATCTCATCTTCCCTTTGGATGGTTTCTTCACGGTTCCATTGCCATTAAGCAATACATATTGCCGAGACTTTGATTATGACTTGGGTTTTTATGTACGACTATACTTCAACCCCATTGGCTATATTTAATTACTTGTACTGATGATAAGGAAATAGATATCATGGAAAGAATTGCGGTATCTTTATGAAATGAATGAGAAGAATTAAGTAGAACCACAATTAAAGAATTTTCCATCACTATCCGATTGTGATAGAAAGATCCCATAAACGCTACTCCTAATAGTACTAGTTTTGAAGTTGATACTATCAGAAATATCCTCAAATGATTTGTTAAAACCAAGTAATGAACTCTTATAAAATCAGAGTTTTTATAAATAGGAAAGTCACAATTAGTCGAGAGTCTTATAAAGACTTTTACTTCCTCCCTTTAGTTTATGTGGCAACATCTCTTTCTAGTCAACTTTAGAGAGTATAGTAATTTATAAAATTTGGGAACAATTCAACTAAAAAAACTTATTTATCCTTAATGAGAAACTTTTTTAGCCATATAAATATTTATAATTTGTTTTAGATCATAAGTGTCAAAAAATTATATTTCTTTCTAAAACTCCGTATTAAGTCAAACTTTTTCACATGAATAAGTATTTATCACGCATAAGTAAATACTCTCTTCATCCCAATTAATGTTGCAGTATTTTGGCTAGACACAAACGTTTAAGAAAGAAAGACTTTTGACACCTCTAGTCTACAATGAGCTATAAATATTTGTGTGGCTATAAAAAAACTCATTAACAGCTTATTTGGATGGTTGTATGTATCGTATAATATTATATTGTATTGTCTTGTATCGTTTTGATATACACAATATTTAGATAGATTGTATTGTTTGTCGTCGTTTCATGATATCATGCATCAATAATATGAAGTATAAACTTGCAATATTATAAAGAAAAAGTAAGGTACAAGGTAGAATTATTATATACAAAGGTAGGGTAAAGGATAAAATATGATTATTTAATAATAAGGACGGGCAAGATGAGAGGAAAAAAATAAGGTAACGATGCGACCACACCAAATCGATCGTTGCATAAAGTGGTACTTTTCGCCATTACGTACGATGGATTTAACGATATGATACAATAAAAATTATATAACAATCAAAACAAATATTATATTTAAAGTAACAATACGATAACAGGTAATAATCATCCAAACAAGCTGTAAGGGTAAATGACTTTTTAAAATTGTTACTAAATATAAAAAGGTGGACCGAAAGAGCCAAAAAAAATATGTAATAAGATAGTCTATGCCATTTATATATTTACCAAAACACCCTTTGTACTTGCAAACAAAATCCTCCTTATAAGCTTGACATCGTAAGTTGAACCCACAAACAAACCGAAAAGAATAAAAACAAGAAGTATATCAGTCCTAGAGAAACTAAAAGAGATCAGGATAAACAGTTGAGTTAATGCATCAATGGAGAAACCAGCTGTCCAGTGTGTAGATGAAGCTGCAACAAAGGTGCAGTCTTCTCCTGCAGCTCGCAGCAATAACAATGGCGGTTGGATATCCTTCCCCTTCATCATAGGTCCTTTTTCTTCTTCTTCTTCTTCTTCTAAAGCTATATATTAGTTCTAGAGGCTAACTATAATCGAGGGCGGAGCTTGGGGCAGAAGAGGTTTTATCCGAATCTCCTTCGCCGAAAAATTATATTGAAGTTTTATTGTTGAAATTAATAGGGAGCATGGCAGGCTTATCACTAGCAGCAGCAGGATGGAATAACAATTTGATAGTGTATCTAATACAAGAATTCAACATGAGTAGCGTAAGTGCTGCAAAAGTGTACAATATGGCGAATGGGTGCAGCACTATTTTCCCAATTTTGGGTGCCGTAGTTGCCGATTCTTTTCTTGGCTGTTTCTCCGTCATCTGGATTTCTTCTTTCATCTCTCTGCTGGTAAGAACCTTTTATTCCCACTTACTTTCTCCTTTTTCTTTTTGTCATATTCATGTAAAGAAACCTATACTATCTTGTCATGGTTTTGGATTTCGTTAGATGGATGCCTAAATTTTAGTCACCGTGCAGACAGTACAATTATTAAATTATATTTATCAAATTGAAATACTACTATAACTTTTTAAATTTGAAACGACTTAGCTTAAACTTTCCTAATTTATCGATGAGAAATTCTTTATACCAAAACACATGTTAGGAAATGTCTAGAGGACAAGCTTTAAAAGTCTTACAAGCATACAATCATTATTATACTTATTAGGGAGCGGCAACAACAACAATCCAGTAAAATTCTACAAGTGGGATTTGGGGAAGATAGTGTGTACGCAGACCTTACCCCTACCCTAAAGGGGTAGAGAGGCTGTTTCCGAAAGACCCTCGGCTCAAGATAATAAAAAGACAAAAGGAGAAAATATTAGATTCACCACGGAGATCATAGGAAAAATAGGAACATAAAATGCAGAAAAAAAAATGCAAAACAAAAACGATGGCTAGTAAATGGATCTTGCGTCAAAAATAGAAAATAGTAAGACATGACATTGCCCCTAGCTATCTTAGACAAAACTCTACCGAACTTAGGCTCACAAAGGTACAAAGTAACGCAAGACTCAACTACCTCTTAGCCTACCGGACTTGGCTTACTTCCTATCAATTACACTTATTAGGATCACAAGATTTTAAAAAAGAAAATATTTACTTTTCTCAAGCTCCATGCCTATTCAAATTTTGTCACAATTAAAACGAAAGGAATACTTGATTTTTTTTTCATCGTAACAATATAAACTCGGTATTAATGATCGTTTTGTGGGAGGTTGGCTAAATAATAGTATGTTGTAAATTGGTTATTTTAGTGGGTACTATATCTTTTCTTTCATGGGTTCACGAAAATAGTTTCAAAATTGCTTCTTATCTCTCGGCTGGTAGCTTTGATTCCTTTATCTTCTTTTTCTTTTGTCAGATTGAAAAGATGTCAATTCACGATAAAAAGAAAAAAACCAGTATCTTATGGTTATATTGTTGTTTGTGATATTTGTCGTTGATAGAAGGTAGCTTACTTATCTGCTTGTCTTGGTTTTGATTATATAACCATCTTTATTAACGCGAATAGTTTTAGTATTTGTTTGGCCACTAAAGCATTGCTTAAAACAAATCTTTTGGACTTCGTTGAGGTCTTTGTACGTAGTAATGCGCGTAAACTTTTTCACGGTAAAGAATTTAAAATTTGTTAGATATCTATTAGTGGAAACTTTATTTAAAAATTCTAAATATTTATCTTTAAAAATGCCTCCAAAAGACATGTTAATTAAAAACTGGATAAGATGAGCTGATAAAATTATTTCAGATGCACTTATTTAAAGAAAAAGTGTAGTAGTAGTAGTACTGAGGAATTATCTGAAATTCCACGTGGCAGTTGTAGAAAGAGACACGCAAATACCTTGTATTCCCACAGTTTCCCTGAGCGTAGCCACCTCATTAATATTTCTGTGATTCATTTTTCTTCTTTTGCTGTTTTTTAGGCAATTGCTGTATAAGTATAAGACTTTCCACTTATACAGTAAATGCTTTCCAACAGAGTTATCCATCGGCTTATATATTGGGCCTACATCACCATTTTAGCTATCACAGTATCCATAATTGATGGATAGATATAGGAGTTGAGCATTTGCCAGAACGAAACTGACACAAAATTCAACAGAAAAATTATTTTTCTAGGGGAGAGAAGTCCCATTCAACCATTCAACCCTACCCTTAATTAGGATGACAAATAATTATGACACTATGCATTAGGTGTTAATGGAACTTACCCCAAAATGATATTCTTCTGTTTTAATTTACACGATTTGATAGCATAAATTTTTATTTAGTTCGGTATATAGAAGTTGAACTCTTTCGAAAAATATTATAAATATTAGCTTAGAGATGCTTTGAAGCATGACGAGTGACGACCACCCATTTCAGTGGGTTGTTTCCCTTGTTCAATGCAGGGCCTTGAGTTCTTGTGATTCAATGGTGGAGTATTTGTCTCTTTAGATGCGAACCTATTAATATTTTTAGATATATCAAACTACTTGTAAACCATTAAATAAATATTTCGGACATTCGGTGATGACCATTCGAGAAAATTTTACAATTCAAAGGAAAAACGACAAGTGTTTTATTAATTTCATGGAACCGTGTATAACATGCTACCTGACAGTTTTTAATGAGTGGATTTAATGGATATTTCCACCACTCGGTGATGCGCATTCGAGAAAATTTCATAAATGGTCATACAACTATGACTTTGGTTGGTGACGTTAGACACTAACCTCATTTTGACGGGAAATAATATAAATGTCCATAAAATAAATTCATTGTTGTGTTTTCGGCCTCGTTGAATAAAATGCAACCGAAATGACTTAACTATGTTTTCTCACACAAAAATCATAATAACCGAAAAATATAACTTTTTAGTAGTATTTTCTTATTCCATAATCTTTTAGTTTTTGTTTTCAGTCCAATAAATAATAATTCAATTAAAATAGGAATGACTCCACCCAACCTGACCCACTCGACCCAATAGCTGTATATATAAATTAAAATAATACTAGAAGTAAATCTTTCAAAATACGATACTTCTATCTTTTATTTTTTTTCAAGATATTCATTTTTGTTTTAAGTTCTCTCTAATTATACTTTTTATTTCTTTTTTTTTTTGTCAGAGTCTCGTGCATTTCAAACTATGTATTTTGTGAGGAAAGAATTCACTTTTAGTATTATTTTAATTTATGCAAGTATTGTGTCAGGTTGGGTTGGATCTTTCCTATTTTAAAAGGAAAATATAAAATTGATCGGTCAGCCGAAACTAATTGCATTCACTAGCCAAAAATATATAGAATAATTATATACACATAAATATATAAAAATATATATTTTATCGTATATTATATTAAAAATATATATTATTTCTATTTTAATTGGGTTATTATTTATTATATTTGAAATAAAAAATAAAAGAACATGGAATAAGAAAATACTACCAGAAAATTGTGTGTTCCGGTCACTATGATTTTATTTGAATTTTTTATGATTTTTGTGTGAGAAAACAAAGTTATATATATGACTTTGGTGAAAAAGAGTCACCATTTGTGAAATTTACCCGAAAATTTCTGTTATTTGTGGCTTGAATTAATTCCTTGTATATTTAGGAAACCCATAGTCCCTATAGGTTTAGGAAAAGCCATTGTCCTAATAGATTTGGGAAAGGAAAACCTATAGTCCTTGTCAAATTGGGAAACCTTTCTCTTATATGTTTGGGACCTTTTGGGATCTATATATAGGGGTTGTACTTGGGGATTCTATAGATTGTATTGTGCTTTTCTTCTCATTCATAGTGGAAAACTCTCTTTGCTTTTGCCCCGAGGATTAGGCTTAGCCGAACCTTGTTAAATCCTTGTGTTGATTTTTCTTCTGTATTTGCTTTGTGTGTGATTGTGTGCTAGTTAACTCACGATATTCCGCAACAATTGGTATTCAGAGCAAGGTTCGGGTTTCTACACATAATTTAGAGTTAAGATGTCTTCATCGTCTTTAACAAAGTACGAAGTAGAGAAATTTGACGGAGGTTCTAGTTTCAGTCTATGAAAGATTAGGATGAAATCGTCCCTGGTGTTACAAGGATTATGGAAAGCAATTGATGAGGATTTTCCTGAAGATATGAAAGAGACAAAGAAAGAAGACCTGAAGGAGAGGGCTTTGAGTGCGATCTTCATGAGCGTTACAGATAGCGTTCTTCGGGAAATTGCTGAAGAAACTTCTGCAGCAACGGCATGGAAGAAGCTGGAAGATCTGTATTCTAAGAAATCGTTGACAAACCGCCTCTACCTGAAAAAGAGGTTATACAATCCGTATGAACAAAGGTACACCTGTTAAAACTCACCTTGATGAGTTTAGTTCAATTATAATGGACCTGAAGAATGTGGATATCAAAATTGAGAGTGAGGATTAGGCCTTGATTGTGTTATGTTCTTTACCACAGTCTTATGATACTTTTGCCGATACACTACTATATGGGAAAGACAGCATTTCACTAGAAGATGTTAGTAATGCACTAAAATCTAAAGAGTTGAAAAAGAGCTTTCCAGACAACAGAGTTGAGGGCGAGGGTCTTGTCATTAGAGGAAGAACACAACAAAAGGACTTTAAGAGGAAAAAGTCAACCGCAAGATCAAAGTCTAGAGCAAGGAAGCAACACTGTCATGAGTGCGGGGAGCAAGGTCACTACAAGAGAGATTGTCCTAAGCTGAAGGAGAAAAGATGGAAGCAAAAATAGATAATTCGGCAAATATTGTTGACACTGGCAATAATTCTGATGATAGTGACTATGTAGGGGAAGTTTGTGCTGTGAGTTCTAGTCATGGGCAAAATTCTTGGGTTCTTGATTCTGGTGCTACTTTCCACATGTGTCCACACAAGAATTGGTTTGCAACTTACAAACAAATGAGTGGGACTGTCTATATGGGAGATGATAATCCATTACCAGTAGAGGGGATTGGTAACATCAAATTGAGAATGTTCGACGGAATTATCAGAAACATTGAGTGTTGGCATGTTCCTCGGATAAAGAGAAATTTGATTTCTCTTTCGACTTTGGATGATCAAAGGTATAAATTTCACTCCGAGAATGGAATACTTAAAGTGTGTAAAGGCTCCATGGTACTCATGAAGGGTAAACTACATTCTAAATTGTATCATCTTCAGGCCAGTGTAGTTGAAGGGGAAGCTGCTGTAGCTTCTAGGAAAAGTGATCTGAATCAGTCTCAGTTGTGGCACTTGCGACTTGGCCATATGAGTGATAATGGATTGTCTTTGTTGAGTAAGCAGAATTTGCTGAATGGGTACAAAAATCAAGTTTTGAATTTTTGTGAGCATTTTGTGTTTGGTAAACAGACAAGGGTAAAGTTCATCAAGAAGACCGAGCACAAGACCAGAGACAAGTTAGATTATATACGCTCTGACTTGTGGGGTCCAAATAGAGTTCCCTCCAAGAGTGGTGCTAGGTATTTTATGACTTTGATTGATGATTACTCAAGGATGGTGTGGGTGTATTTTCTGAAAACAAAAGATGAGGCATTTTCGACATTTGTTAATTGGAAGACGATGGTTGAGAGGCAAACGGAAAGAAAAGTTAAGCGTCTTCGAACTGACAATGGGTTGGAATTTTGCAATTCTGAGTTCGATAATTTCTGCAGCAGGGAGGGCATAGTGAGACACCGCACTTGTGTCGAAATACCACAACAAAATGGTGTTGCAGAACGTATGAATAGAACGCTTTGTGATAGGGCACGAAGCATGCTTTCACACTCATGTGTTAGCAAAGATTTTTGGGCTGAAGCAATCAATACAGCTTGTTATTTGGTTAATAGATCTTCATCCACAGCTATTGAGTTCAAAACTCCTTTTGAGGTATGGTCCGGTTCGCCTGCTGATTATTCAAATTTAAGGATATTTGGTTGTCCTGCTTATGCTCATGTGAGGGATGGAAAACTTGAGCCGAGGGCAAAGAAGTGCATATTTCTAGGTATGCAACTGGAGTGAAAGGTTATAGGTTGTGGTGCACAGATCAAAAAACTCCAGGGCTAATTATTAGTAGGGATGTAACATTCAATGAATCTGCCTCACTAGACAGTCAGAGGGAGAAGGCAATAGCAGAAATAGATCGTGGTGTCAGTGACCTCTTAGAGCTAGAAATTGAATCTCCACTAGCTCAGCCCAATAGTTCTAAAGTAGAAGAAGTGCAAAATATTGATCAAGATGATAATGCTGATGCACCTGCGTAACAACCCTATAGCATTGCAACAGGCAGAGAGAAGAGAGTGATCAATCCACCACAAAGGTTTGCAAACGTAGCTGATGGTAATTTTCTTGGATATGCTAATTTTGTGGAGTTTGCTTTGTCTGTTGCAGAGACCATTGATGTGCTTGAGCCTAATAGCTATAAAGAAGCTATTTCTAGTCCAGAAGCAGATCAGTGGGTTGGTGCTATGAGTGAAGAGATTGAGTTTCTTCATAAGAATCAGACATGGAAGCTTGTTCCATTGCCAAAGGGACAGAAGGTATGAGGCTGCAAATGGATTTTCAAAAGAAAAGAGGGCAATCCAGAGGTTGAAGCATCAAGGTACAAGGCAAGATTAGTAGCTAAAGGTTTTACATAGAGGGAGGGGATAGATTACAATGAAATGTTCTCTCTAGTGGTAAAGCATAGTTCTATCAGGGTCTTCTGGCTTTGGTGGCTCTTCATGACTTAGAACTAGAGCAGTTAGATGTGAAAACTGCATTCTTGCATGGTGAGTTGGATGAGCAGATTTATATAAGTCAACCGAGGGATTCATTACTCAGGATAAGAAAAATCATGTTTGCTTGCTTAAGAAATCTTTATATGGTCTGAAATAGTCGCCTAGGCAGTGGTATAAAAGATTTGATATATTCATGATTCAAAATGCATTTTCTGGAAGTGCATATGATAGTTGTGTGTATTACAAAAATCTTGAAGACGGTTCTAGTGTATATTTGTTGTTATATGTGGATGACATGCTTATTGCTGCTAAAAGCATGTCACATATTACCCGATTGAAGAAGCAACTAGGTGAGGAGTTTGAGATGAAGGATTTAGGTGCTGCATAGAAGATATTGGGGATGGAGATTACTCAAGATAGAAGGGTTGGAAAGTTGATGTTGTCCCAACGGTCCTATATTGAGAAGGTCCTCAAGAGATTTAATATGACAGGTGCTAAATCTGTGTCTATTCCTTTTGCTTCCCATTTCAAGTTGTCTGCAGACATGTCACCAAAAACAGACGAGGAGATGGAACAGATGTCTAGTGTTCCATATTCGAGTGCTGTTGGTAGCATTATGTATGCTATGGTTTGCACTCGCCCTGACATTTCACATGCTGTTAGTGTTGTGAGTAGATACATGGCGTGTCCTGGTAAAGAACATTGGCAGGCGGTGAAGTGGATCTTGAGATACTTGAAGGGTACTGCAGATGTAGGCTTGACTTTTTACAAAGACAAGTTGAGTGAATCCTTAGTTGGCTATGTCGATTCAGATTATGCAGGGGACTTGGATAAGAGAAGATCTCTGACAGGCTATGTTTTTACTCTTTCTGGTAGTGTATCAGTTGGAAGGCGACTTTGCAGTCTGTCGTTGCTTTGTCTACCACAGAAGCTGAGTATATGGCAATTACAGAAGCAGTTAAAGAGGCTATTTGGCTACAAGGCTTGGTAAGTGATCTTGGACTAGCTCAGAAGAAGACACAAGTTTTTTGTGACAGTCAGAGTGCCATTCATCTTACTAAAAATCAGATGTTTCATGAGCGGACGAAGCATATTGAAGTCAGACATCACTTTATTCGAGACATTATATCAAAGGGGGTTGTTAAAGTGGAGAAAGTGTCTACGCATGATAATCCAGCTGATATGATGACCAAGGCAGTCCCGACCAACAAGTTTAGGCATTGCCTAGACTTGATTGGTATGTGCAGTACTCAATAGAGCCCTTGCGAGGGCTGAGGGCAAGGTAGAGAGACGTTGTTCCTGTTGATGAAGAGAATTCAAGCCAAGGGGAAGATTTGTTATTTGTGGCTTGAATTAATTCCTTGTATTTTTAGGAAACCCGTAGTCCCTATAGGTTTAGGAAAATCCATTGTCCTAATAGATTTGGGAAAGGAAAACCTATAGTCCTTGTCAAATTGGGAAACCTTTCTCTTATATGTTTGGGACCTTTTGGGATCTATATATAGGGGTTGTAGTTGGGGATTCTATAGATGGTATTGTGCTTTTCTTCTCATTCATAGTGGAAAACTCTCTTTGCTTTTGCCCCGAGGATTAGGCTTAGCCGAACCTCGTTAAATCCTTGTGTTGATTTTTCTTCTGTATTTGCTTTTTGTGTGATTGTGTGCTAGTTAACTCACGATATTCCGCAACAATTTCACCATTCAAAGGGGAAACGACAAGTGTATTAATTCTGTCCCATTTCTTCTTGCATTCATTTCATTGAACTATAGAACATGCTTCCTGATTTTAATGATTGGGATTCAGCTTGTCATCGCAGGTTATTTGTTTTATTTTAAAGGCAATTTAAATGTTTACTTTGTCACAAAATGTAATCTGTTTTAATGTTAAGGGAGCCAATTTCACTTATTATAGGCCGTAGTTATCTTTATGTGACTTGATCTATAAATATTCTTGTTAAGCTGTTTTAAGTATACCTTATTTTTTTATTTTTTGGCTGGTAGGGAGCACTGCTTCTCACATTCACAGCAGCAATTGATACATTGAGACCTCAAAAATGCGGTTATGGTTCGGACGAGTGCAGAAATGCATCAACGTCCCAACTTACATTCTTATATGCAGCTCTAGCGCTAGCATATTTGGGCAATGGGGGTACACGTTTCACTATTGGATCAATGGGAGCAAACCAATTCCAGAAGCCAAAGCATCAAGCAATTTTCTTCAACTGGTATACTTTCGCACTCTACACATCCAATGTCATTGGCAGCACAGTCCTTTTATACATTGAGGACAATGTTAGTTGGGTATTGGGGTTCGCCATTTGTGTCGCATTCAACATTATTGGCTTGGGTATTTTCTTGTCTGGCCAACGATTCTATCGCCATATTGAGCCACAACATGAAAGCCCCTTCGTCAGTTTGGCTCAGGTCGTCATCGCTGCCATTAGGAAGAAACCATTCTCTTTAGGAGGTGAACATTATTACCATGGCACGAAATCACAGGACAGTGCTACGAGAACCGATTTCCCAAAACCTTGCAAATTCTTCAGGTAAGAACACTCTTCCCAAACATATGGTTCAAAGTATATCGAGTAGTAGCACGGGTGGAGCTACAGGGTCTGATAGGGGTTCAATTCAACCCCTATCGTTAGAACATTATAATGTAGGAATAGGTTCAGTTACATAATGGTAGCTTTGTAGTATTTTAAGTTGTAGGTTTGAATCTCAGGCGTGACATTCCTGCATATTTTTGAATCCTATTTTAATAAATCCTGGTTCCGCTACTCAGTGGTAGTCAAGTATCAAAATTTATTGTCCTGGCCCTTAAAATTCAAGTGAAATGATTTTCAAAGGAGAAGCGAATTTAATTTGTTAATTTTATGTTTTAATAGGTACCTGAACAGGGCGGCTTTGGTCACGGAAGGAGATAAGAAACAGGATGGCCTCATTGCCGAGCCTTGGAAACTATGTACAGTGCAACAAGTGGAAGATCTCAAAACATTGATAAAACTCTTCCCACTATGGACTACTGGTTTGTTTCTGTACACCCCACTAGTCATACAAGCAAGTTTAGCAATCCTGCAAGCTCTAAAAATGGACCGACGTTTCGGATCCCATTTCAAAATCCCAGCTGGTTCTGTTGTAGTCTTTACATTGATCTCCACATGCATAACCATTACCTTCACGGACCGAGTCCTATTCCCTTTGTTGAATAGATGCATTCGTAGCTCTCTAACACCACTTCGACGGGTTGGGATAGGCCACTTGCTAACGGTCGTTAGCATGGCCTTATCCGCCCTGGTCGAATCAAAGAGGATAAAAATAGTGAAATCTCACCATCAAAACAATGTTGCAGCGCCAATGTCCGTGTTCTTGTTGGCGCCACAGCTAGCAATTACGGGCATCGGGCTAGCTTTTCATTCTCCAGGATATGCGGGATTTTATTACCAAGAATTTCCAGCGTCCCTGAAAAGCACGTCTACGGCAGTCGTGGCGGTTTTTGTAGGCGCAGCATTTTATTTAGGGAACGGGGTGATGGACCTGGTTCAAAGCGTGACAGGATGGTTGCCGGAGAATATTGATAATGGTAGGTTGGATAATGTTTTCTGGGTGGTATGTGTTATAGGGGCTGCGAATTCTGTGTATTACCTAGTATGTGCTTCATTGTACAAGTATAAAAATGTAGACCAGGAAGTAAATGATTCTATTGACAAAATAGATAGCAATTAGCACAAATGAAGTAGGCCTGGATTCATGTAAAATTGAACAAGCAGTTCATGACCCTTTAAGGTATAAAACAATCAGTTGTTGCATTTGTATCGGTTTAATTTGTGGTATCAATATATAAGCGAGGAGCATAATAGAGTAATTAGAAAATGTGAATATCAAGGTATGAGTAATATAAAAAGCACATGTTATACATTTAGTGATTTAATGTGAATATCAAGGTATGAGTAAGCTCCATTAGGAAGGCAGATTTGTGTTATACTTCAAGGTTTCTGCTATCATTTCTTTCAATTAAAAAAATATTTATTAAGCATGAAATAAGTCAGCTTAAATACACGAGCAGAAAAATATTATCAAATGGAGACCTCATAACGCCAAACTATGCCTTATAAAAAGACACGCACGGACGTAGCAAATATAGTCTGAGTAATTCTGCCTAGAGTCTAACCACAGAGAATTAACCTATCAATTACTTTTGTCGGACTTACTAAATTCACAGAATCAATTTCCCCAAACTTTGTAATTCACAATTGATGATATATCTAACAACTAAACTGAAAATAAATAACAGCTGAAAGTTAACTAAGCTTGCTTGTATATAATTGGAATAAGGTCTAAGGTAATGGTTTTCCCCGTCGTTGATTTCCTTGGTTGAATATGTTTTATAACTGAGACTTAGTTATCTTCATCAATCATGAACGCTCCAGCTATCATAAATCTTTCTCAAGCAATTATGATAATTTACTAGACGCACTTTCTCAAGCTACGCTAGCTAGATTCTCATTACGGTTCACTTAGATTGCACCCGAGGTATCGTTATCTCTAATCCAACCTCTAAACCCTCGGTTATGACTCTCGTCTATACTCCGGGAGTGATGTTGTTCATTCAATCACCTAAATATGCACTCTTTCTCAAACAGATACATACTAATTAGGGACGGATAATTGAGGGCCCTTTCAATTAACCACAATCAAGACGTAGATGAACAAATAGAGATTAACAACCAATTCAAAACTATATTAATATAACAACCAAGTCATCCCCAACGGGTTTCACCAAAACCTTAGATTAAAGTATTTAGCTACTCATAACAACATAAGATAAAACTACTAAATTATTCATAATGGAAGAATTGCAAGAAAAATAGAAGAGATAAAGAACTATGATGTTTTGGGTGATCTCTCACACTTGTTCTTCTTCCAAAAGTAATCTCTAAATAAGCTTCCCCTATCTTGGGCGAGTTTCTACATCTTATAAGGGTTTTACAAAAGTTTTCCCGAATTGATACTTTGGCCCTTAAATTTCTGGATCGTGAACAGTTCACCGCGGTCGCGGCATGGACCGCGTTCGACCGCGGTGAACACTGCCTGGGCCTATTTTTGTGTTTTGTCTCCGCGTTCTGCTCCGCTGTCCACCGCGGTCGCGGTGGACTTTTGTCCAGTCATTTTCTTTTGCTCTTTTGTGTTCGGGTACTTTTTGAGTGGGTATTTTCTTCACATTATTGCCTCCAAACACTTCATGTTGCTTAATCACATATAATATTCCCTGCGAAACCAAATAGCACATTTTAAAGCATTTTATTGGCAAATTACATTATAAAACAACAACAAAGCATGGGCAATTAAGGTGTAAATATCAACTATATAGCCTATTATCAACACCCCACACTTAAATTATTGCTAGTCCTCGAGCAATTCACCACACTCCATCAAACTTCCTTCCCTAAGCTTTTCCCTCAACGATTCACACCATGAACATTTTACAGAAGTTACACCTAGTAGTGAGCAAACTTTACCTCAAGAATCAAATCTTTCGTACCTCGTAACATTTGCACTTACTCAAACCACTCTACACAAGAGTTAAGACGTACCTTTCCTTTGTGAATCACATGCCCTCACATCACACAAGAGAGTAGTTCCATATATAATGATAGTGATAACAATTAGGAACTAAAATAGACAGAATTCGCTCACTCTCAAAAAGAACATTCACATGCCACAAAGATGCACCATAGGCTTGCCCGTAGTGTAGTACTCGACTAATCGAGCCCCACTCAGTCTAAGATCAATATTACTTTATTTGGTTGTAATGTAAGCTAAGGGAAGGGTAGGATATATTTGTATATAGTGACTAGCCTCCCTAAGCACTTTTAATACAATTACATTAAACTTCAAGATCATCGTTTTGTCAGCCAACATTCCACCATATTTATTTGAACATCCACATACATTAGGTGCAATTTGTATAAGCTACCACTTATTAATCACTATACAATATATTATAAAAAAAAAATTTCGTGGTGCTTCTCTTTTCATGCTTCACATTCTGCACCTTTTCTCTATTTCCATGGTTCCACTTCAAAAACCAAACCACCACTCCACACTTTTGCTTTTGCATATTTTCAATACCATTCTAGTGCTTAGTGAGAGGAAAATTGGTTCAAACAGCAGGCTATTCAAACAATTGGGTAAGGTTCACATTGTGGTTGCCAAAGAAACAGGCTTATAGGCTCAACGGGGTTAACTAAGATGTACTGTATTCAGGTGGGTTTACTTTATATGTCTGGCTCAACAAAGAAATGCCTATATCACTTCTAAAACTGAATGAAGCTACTATTTCGCTTTGCAAACACACAGGGCAAGTTCTAGGCATCAAATGTACAGCATGGAATACAGTAACACTCACACACACGTGGCACATGACTCACTCCGGATTAGTTTATCAAGACATTCTCTTTTGAGTGTTCAAGTTAGGTACAAACATACAATTTTTAAGGCACTTAAATAAGATTCAACCCTTGAAGCTAAGCGCTACACTCTAGCGTCTATCGTGTTCAGGTGTAAAAGCGCTAAGGGTTTTTCTTCTTCGATTTTAAGCTCGTCGCCCATTAATCCTAACCTAAAAAAACAAAAAATCTACCTATACCCGGTTCAAGCTAAACCCTTGGAAAAGAACCGTGACCCAAAGAAAAATCAAGGGGGAGTTACTACACTACCTAAAAAAAAATTAAAAAATCTTTTTGGTATTTTCTCTAGACTAACTTCCCTCAAGAAAATTGTCTAAAGGATCCGCCATCAGGAAGAGTCTCTATATTCCATTTTTTTTTCTCGACTTAGTCCCTCAAGAACCCCGTCGAAAGAGATCCGTCGTCGGGACAAAGCACTTACTATTTCTACTTACCTAATGAACTACTATTCTAACACCAAAACAATCAAAGCAAACAGTTAATTGTTACAATTACAAACATACAATGAAGTATCCCCCACCCCACACTTAAAATAAGGACATGTCCCCATGGCTTCAAAATGTAAAGAACAGTGAGGTAAAGGAACTTCCCTGAGGCTCACTCTTGGTCAGAAACTGTGTCTGGGTTCACGTTGCAGGCGCGACCCAGAGCTCTCAACCAGCCCATGAATTTCTTTTCTGACTTCACCTGTCGGTCAGCCACCGCATCAACACGGGTACCCAAGTCAGCGACGGAGGTCCACAACCCAGTCATCCCTTGCTCCAAGGCTGCCATGCGAGTGCTCCGGCGTGGCTGTGATGGTCTTTCCTCGTCCCCTCTCGAAGGAGTTGTGATCTCAGCAGCCCCAGCATCATCATCAGACTCATCAGTAGAGTCATCACTGTCTGGCAACGGCTCTCTTCCCTCGAGTCCAATTTTCTTTGCCCGAAAAGGAGCCTTTAGAGGTAATTTCCCATCAACTCGAAGGTTCTCAGGGACATTAGCAAGGCGGCACAGTCGGGTGACTAGCGAAGGGAAGTAGTGGCCCTTGATTAGCTCAGGCGATCTAATGAACATTTCATCATGGAGGACTCGGGCGACATCAAACCCTTGGTGAGTCATAAAGCAATAGATCATAGCTGCCCGTGGCCCATTCACATCAGTGGTATTGCTGGATGGTAGCAGACGGGTGTTGATGACCGTGAGCCAACACTTTGCCTCCCAAGTAAGAGACTGTGAGTGTAGAGTCGTCGGCTGTGCTACCCATTTGGACATTCTGCCAGGTATACAGATTACCTCCTGAAGTCTGTCCCAGTCAACCCTCGGGCGATGAGACATGATGTAATGATCGTCACCCGTGAATGTTGGGAGGCGATACGCTCTGCGGATGACCTCTATAGAAGCATTAACCCGGGTGTTGCGCACAGTCACAACCTCATTCTCGTTTTCTGGCAAGTTTGCATAGAACTCTCTCACTAGCTGAATATTGGCCTCCTCTGGAACCTCAAAGAAGATGTCCAGCTGACACCTCCTTAACTCATTAAACATATTTGGGCACTCCTTCACCAATGCCGTCCGATCGATATGGACCTCATGGATTAACTTCTTTGCAGCTTTCTGATTGTACCTTGTCTCCGCTGATTGAGAGACGAACCGAGTGCTATCGAACTGAGTTGCACTGGCTTGGCCCCTAGCTCGTGAAGAGCCTCCTGGACCACTAGCAGAGGCCCGGGTGTTTCGTCTCTTACGGGAGGAACTCATAGTACCTGTCAAAACATAGAAACGCTTATTAGGACAGGCCCAAAATGTGTGACTATGGGTGGTTACTCAGACTTCACCACGACCATGTCACAACATCTCCTTATATCTCCATTGAGGCAATTTCCCAAACACATTGTGGGCAAGGCAATTATCTTCATATACATGGCCCATGAGAATCAAGAAAACTTCCCCAATTCACATATCCACTACACCCACACACCCCACACTTGCTACAAACAATCACCCACCAACAACACCCTTTCAACATTCAATACACAGTCCCTTGACCAACATATGCCAACAAAAAACGAAATTACACTAGAAAATAAGAAGAAAAAGCTAAAAAAAATCCTATCACTAATGCTACATTATAACAAAATTGAACTAGCATAACAACACAAAATAGAGAAAGAAAAGAGAAGGGGGGGGGGGGTCGGAATTCATACCTTTGCGGAAGAGGATGAGGGGTCTTGTGAAGGAAGAAGAAGAAGAGGAGAGTATGGAGGGGAGGGTTAGGGTTTAGAGAAGAGGGAGATTGGGGGCGTGCGTTTTGGATGAAGGGGGTGTGTTTTGTTTTAAAAATAAAAGAAGAAGAGAAGGAAAAGGAAAAGAAC